ATTTCATTCTTTCTCATCAGGGGTTTAAAGTAGGAATGTGCCGATCAGGTTTTTTTGCCCTCGAGTCCGAGTCATTTGATTTTGAGTATCTACCGATACCGAGTCCCGATCCGATACTTATATAATACATAAAAAAGAATAAAGAAGTGAGAAAAAACAGATCCAGGATGTTCCTTATTTTTTATTTAATTCACCTTATTTTAACATTCAACAACTCTGTTAACAAACAGAGCACTTCTGTGAGGTAGCTTGAACAATCAAGTAATAAATAGCATAAAATCTTCACTTTTGGACTTTAGTGCAACAATAAATATAGAAAAAGTCTAATATAAAAACAAATAGCACCTCAACTTAAAATACCCGGCAGGCATGTAAACAAAAAATAAAAATGTTTTAAGTGTATAAAAAAATAATGAGAATATATATATATATATATATATATATATATATATATATATATATATATATACATTAGGGGTGTAACAGTTCACAAAATTTGCGGTTCGATACGAATACGATACAGCAAAAAGAAAGAAATGCCAGAGAAATTTCCTATTTATTAAAAGAAAAACTATTTTTAAATAAGTTTTGAGTTTTCCTACATCTTGAAACTTTCAGGTTTAGAAATGGGGGTAATCTATGAAGGATGAACAACTAATGTTTTGGTAATCACATTAAAAATAACATTTAAAAATATATTTATATAATATTTGAGTTTTGAAGTGCAACATTAAATCCATGTTCATTTACGGCACAATGTTTCTCCTGGTTCCCACGTCAGCGCTGTTTGATCTAATAGAGATCTACGGTTAATAACGGAGAAATCTGAATTCTTCTCACTAGATCTCGCAGCAATGTTATTACTTCAGTGGCGAATTCAAATGTTTTCTTCTCTGGATCTCTTAGCACAGTGTCGCTTGATCTCGCGCTGCACAGATGTTGCTGGTCCGAACTGATAAATGGTCCGTTAAGCACAATATAATGAGTAACGCAGTTTCGTTCCGCTTTCATTACGTTCGCCATTTGATGTTGCGCAACGTTGTGGTGATCGCGCCAGCGCGGATTTTGTCTGCAGGAAAAATGGTCCTAGGAATCGTTCGGTATGCGTACCGAACCGGTTCAATAATTACGAATACATGTACCGTTACACCCCTAATTTACATATATCCGAGTCCTGATCGGGAGGTAACGTCCGATTCCGATCGAGTCTGAAACCACGTGATCGGGCCCGATTTCCGATCGCGTGATCGGATCGGGACATCCCTAGTTTAAAGTATAGAACTTTAGTAATTGAGTTCTAGTTCCAGATGAGTATCATTCAGTCCGCTACTCCAGTGGTCTCTGTTTCTTCCGTCTACTCAATTTATTTTTTGACTTTAAAAAACGGCCCAGGCAGACTAAAGGTGTGGTCACGTTTACTGTGTGTAACGGTATAGAATTGATTTTAATCAAACAACAAAAGTCAGATAAAATCACTCACTGCTCTTGAATGTATAACTTTTGTAGTTTAAATAAGGATTCGTCTATATTAATGTATATACAGCAGTGTTATTTTACATTTGATAATTCAATTTCTGTTGTAGGCTTACAATTACATTACTTATATGTAGGGATGCATGATGATATCGGGACAACATCGGTATCGGCCGATAAAAGCTTAAAATGACCATCATCGGCATCGGCCGATATGAATATTTCTGCCGATGAGTCTTGCCGATAGGGTGGCGTGTTTCCTATGCGCACGTGACGACCGTGAACGAAGCATGAGCGCCAGCAACTTAAACTTCCAACTAGGGGTGTGCGTCTCACGGTTTTTGATCGTGGACGATTAAAATGTCTCCACGATCTGCTTTTGAAGAAAAATCATAGTATCGTGCATTCTATCAGTTCAATTCTTGCGCCATCATCTCAACATACTGTACAACGCGACGTACATTCACATCACATCACATGTAAACGCAGAGGTAGAGTTACACTCACGGGACACTGCAATTCACAAAAGTTCATTGTTTGCATATGCGTCAAAGTCTTGCTAGTTAAACATGTCATTCACGTGCTGATGCGCTGTTCTATCATCCGCTTTTCTGAGCGCGTTACACCCGACGCTCACAGGAACTAAAAGCCTGTCACAGCGCCTGCATACTGGACTAATCTTTCGAGTCTTATTGCGCTGATACTGTCAAATACACACAAGGTTTACATAAACAAAGTTGGTTATGTCTAAAGTGAAAGCAAATCTGCTTGTCAAATGCGTGTATATTAGACGCGTCGCGTTACTCGCGTGCAGTTCTTATGGTGTGTTCACACCGAACGCGAATTTAATTATTTGGGCGAGTAGATTACATACAAAGTCAATGCAAAGACGCGAATAGACGCATCATTCGCGCCGGGCGTTGCGAATGACGCGAATTGGGCGACGCGTTTGCCGCGAATGTCTTCCGCGCAAGTTGAAAAATTTGAACTCGAGCGAATGTTCAAGCCTCTAACTAAACGCGATAGACGCGTACTTGACGCTCTATTCGCGTTCGGTGTGAACACACCATTAAAGAGACAGTAATAATATTCTGCCGCTTGTCTTTAAAGAGATACTGCACCCAGAAATAAAAATTCTGTCTATCTAATGTTGTTTCAAACCTGGATTCATTTCTTTCTTGTGCTTAAATATACTATGGAAGTCACTGGAGTACAGCAACTGTTTGGTTAGCCACATTCTTCCAAATAACTTTTATAATTTCAACAGAAGAAAGAAACTTGAGAGAGTAAATGATGACAATTAAATTTTTTGGGAGAACTATCCCGTTAATGTTAATAAAACAACAAAACACAGAGGAAATCACTCACTGCTCTTGACTGAGAACATTAATAGAAGCTTTAATAAGCTTTTTTTGCACTTAAAAAAAAATACAAATATATCGGTATCGGTATCGGCATCGGGCAAAATTATTTTGAAAATATCGGCATATCGAATATCGGCCAAAATCCTATATTGTGCATCCCTACTTATATGAATGCCACTGTCAGTACATCTTCCTGAAAAACCTAAAGCACTTTTAATTTAATTTGTATTTTTGTTCTGTTGTAATTTTTGTCGGTTTTTGTAATTCTTGTAATTTGTTCTAAAACGCAACTTGATTTTGTGCTCGAGGCTATTGGCCTCGCCCAACACGTTGGTAGCCCTGGCTCGCACTGGCCTGACAGTGGCTAATGATGCCAAAATATGCTGCCTATGTAGGCTGCTCACTCATCTCAGTCTTGTGAGACTGTCCCTTTAGGCAGATCACATTTTAAATGTTGGATGGACTTTTGAAATGCCTCGTTTTGGTTGTCAGTGTCACGATTCACTTTGCCTTTCTTCCTCTTCAAACCATTTCACATGTTCTAATTAAAAAATCCATTTTCTCTGATCCACTTCAGAGGTATAAATAATGTATCATTACACTGACCTCAGTGATGAAATGATAATATTTGCTTGAAACCCACTGTTATGGTTACCCTAACCTGGTTACCTTATTTTACAATGCATGTATATATATATTTTTTTTTTTTTGTTGGCGCATGGTTTTAAAATCCTAGATTAATAGCTCATATGCAACATTAACCAATTGGAATCTACAGGAAATGCACATTTGTCTCAACACGTAGCTGTAGTCGAATGCTTTCTAAGCAACGATCCTGATGTTTATTGGATCCAGATATAATCTGCCGTCCCCATGGGGTTACATGCATAGGAAGAAGAAAAAGAGCCCTTTTCGAGGAGTGTGGTTGTGGGGTCTCGGCCCCCACCGGAGAGCAGCCAGCGTTCCACAGATTCTAGGAAAAGCTGTTTGCTCAGAGTCCAGATATTCACACATGTGGTAAATCTACTCCTGTCCCCTCCCATTCCTATATAGAGGGCTATATGGAGAGGAGGGTCTCCTCCTGGCTAACTGCTGTAGCCCTCCCATCCTGATATAGTACATTCTGTCCTGTTACTTTAAAGAGAAGGCCCTGTTAGTTTGGGGAAATGGAGATAATGGTAACAGTCTGTGGTCTCACCGAGACATCACAGGAACTTAAGTGATCACTGACCAATCTTTAGATGCTTAGGATTCATAATTGTATCTTTAAGTGTCATTGAGACTTTTTAAAGTTATAATACATGCTGTTTACCTATGACTTGGCAATATAGATAAAAATCTGTATGTTTTTATTGTAATTTAGATTTCATATATATCTTTATGTATTTGCTCTAAAATGGCTTTAAATGAGAACTTTGAGAATTGTTAAAAACATTTTTTAAAGTATATAGTGCGATAATTAAAGCTAAAGAGAAAATCTTGTGACGTACACTACAGTTCAAACGTTTGGAGTACTTTTATACTTTTATTTTTCTGTTAAAAAGACTTGTATTTCAAATAAATGCTGTTTTTTTAAACGTTCTTTTCATCAAAGAATCACAAAGTTTCATGGTTCCCACAAAAAATAAGCAGCAGCTGTTAAGAAATATTTCTAGTCAAATCATCACATTAGAAATTCTGAAGGATCATGTGACCCTGGAGAATAGAGTGATGATGCTGAAAAATTCAGCTTTAACATCACAGGAATAAATGATCAGAGAACACATAGTTAGAGACTCATTTTAAAAAATCGAACTGACCCCAAACTTTTGATTATAAGAGATGCTATCAAAACGCCTATCTTATTGTTCTCGTACTTGCAAGTGGCGAGACGAGGATTGATTGTCAAACTAATCTGATGACATGATCATGGAACCTAATGGTCACAAAAAACGAATTAAAATGATTGCAATCATGTTGCTTAATTTGCAGTATCAAAATCATTGCAAATATTTACTGAACATCTGATGTATTTCCCATTTAACCTCAATTGTTCTTTTGGGTGTTTTTACTACAGTCTGAGCAGACTACAAATCAACTCCCCTTTTATGTCCTCTTTGGCCTGATCTTTTCATTTCTCACATAACTTTTTCTATTTCTCTCTTTCTGCTGGATGGAGTGCAGGAATCCCTCCACAGCTTTCTACCAAGCTTTCCAGTCTGGCAGTAGGCTGAAGGACTCAAAGATGACCTGTGATAGGTACAGTAATGGGACAGACCCTGGTGTGACGCAGATGACGTTTGAAGTGTGCTGCATGGGGCGGGCATGGCTTTGAGGCTTAAGTGGTGCTCTCTGCAGTGGAGCTCAGCGCAAACATAACCTCATAATGCTCATATGCAAATTGCTATATTAATAAATGTGAGCTAAAATCCTATGGGAAAATGGGATACTGAATCGTGTTTCAAGCGCATTGCTTTCCATTAACACAATTAATTAGCTGAAGCCAGTGTTGAGCTGCAGATAAGGATTTAGAGGATAATTTGTTGTTTTTAGGAAGAGGATAATTTGTTGTTTTTAGGAATGTGCAAAATGTTTATAATTGGGCTAGTCAATTAGTTTCTGAACATCTAGTTGACTGGACTTGAGCATCTCCAATAGGCTTTATGCCACAGCTTCACTACTTCCTGAACTTCAGCATTGCATTCTGCATTGTTACTGAGGCCAGGCACACCTGGATTAATCAGTTTGTCCAATAATGACAGACAGGAAACAAAGGGCTGGCTGAAGTTCAGGAAGTAGTGAAGCTGTGGCATAAAGCCAATTAAATGCACCACAGCTAAAGATCTAGTCAGTTGTTCAACAACTGGTTGCCCAACCTGGCCTATCATAAGTAGTGGTCGACCGTAGGGCTGGGTGATAAACTATATCATAACGAGATCGCAATAATATTTACGCGATAACGATGATAAGCTCGATATAACAGAAACACAGCAGAAATAAACGCAACAATAGGCAGTCAGTGCATGTCGATAAGTGATTTCTGCGTGTCTCTGTGAATGAGCTGCACTGTTTCGTCTGATACACACACTCACACACGTGAGGCTCACAGTGTTTTCAGTGTCTCAATATACGAGGACATGAACACATGAACTTCATCTCCAGAGCTGCTTTGAGTCACTTCACAAGCTTTTCACAGTTTAATTTGTGAAAAACTATCAACTCGTAAATAAAAACCATCAAAATAAAAGTTTATTTTAACTTGAAGAAATTATGACCGAAATATATCACTACTGTAGCCTTTATTAAAATGTACTTCTGAAAGTTTCTAAGGAATATTACAACCAAGATATTTTTTCATCCATGTACTAAATTTACACTGTTCTGTTGTGCAGCATTTGATTACATTTTAAATGCTTGATTCAACTGTTAAAGTTTATATAAATTTGTATTAAATCATAAAACAGAATCCCCAAAAAATCTAATGGATTTCATGAGGCCCTAAATTAAAACGTAGCTACTCTGTGGAGTTTAATTGTGAACAAAAGTTTACATTCATTCTCAGGCCTGGGTAACAAATATGTTTAATAAATATTGTGATAATTATCATTATTACACGCCTATGTGGAATACTTGATTCTGATTGGTCAATCGCGCCATCCAGGGGTATGTTATTTCTCAATAACAACCGCTGAGAACGGATAACACCGGCTCATCCGGGTTACTGAAGTCAGCAGCGCTATACGCTTGCTAGGAACGTTTCTTCTTCGTGGAAGTTTTGCGTTTAGTGAGCTAATAAAATATTATAACTCAGTCAAATCAATATTTTGTGTACAGTTATTTATTGATGTCATCCAGTGTCGTGGACTCGCTCTCTCGTTTCATACCAACGCAGCTGCTGCCATTTTGCGACTATTGTTTTGTACGCTGTTGGCTAAACGGGTACGATTTTAAAACTTTAATCTCAAATCAATATCTTTTATCCCCATAATTACTTATGTGGTGAAATGCTGTGTAATAAGTGTTATGACTGTATCGTATCTCTTAAATGTCCGTCTAATTTGAACTTGCTGCGCACTGGCAACTGCTCTCTCCTTGGAAGCTTTGTGTTTACAGACCTAATAAAGTATTTTGACTCATTGAAATATTTGTACTTATGTGGCAAGTAGCCGTGTAATAAGCGGGATAATGTACATCTAGCCGGTTGTTATCTCAGAATAAACCCCATCAGGCTGATTAAAGTCCTGAACACCCTGTCGGGGTTTATTCTGAGATCACAACTGGCTGGATGTTCATTATCCCTTACATGTCGTATGATGTGGAAAAAATATTGTGATAATAATATTGGGGCCATATCACCCAGCCTAGTCGACCAATATATTTGCATGGCTGATATTTGGCAGTTTTTAATGGTTAAATTAGATTGGCTGATGTGTTGGACAGCGTGTTGGACTTTAATTTTGAAAGCGCTGAGAATGCCAGTGACTGAGCGTCCGATCTCCCATTCCCAAAATGATTAGAGCTGTTAAATAATGTAAATGGTATACAAAAAAGTATTATATTGTTTGCTTTTCTGTCATTAGTAAAAGGAAGGCAAGTGCTATAATACTTTCTGATCTACTGTCAGCATTCAGCATATTTATATAATTTAAAGAAGTCTTTGAATATCTAATAAACATTTAATTTCGCAAACTTTGTCGATTCCAGCTGTGAGGTCTTGTGATGTGTGCATTTGTTTTGTAGACTACATAAAAACGTGTTACTCTAGCTATGTTTCCATCCTCACGTTTTTATCCGCATTAAGTGATATCGAATGAAAAATGCCTTATGGAAACAGTAAAATTCGATTGAATTTCATGAATGAAATGAAATACGATCGGTCTCATCGGATTTGATCTTGATCGATATACGGCTTATGCGATAAACGCGGATGGAAACGTTATTATGGTGCGATCCATTTTGCCTAGTAAAACTTTGTTCGCAAACGTTGGCTTGAATGTTGTGCAATTCGGTGAGAAAATGAATGGAAACACCTTAACGTGTCTCAAATCAATTCGATATACCAATTTGATCGCAAAACAGCATGTGACGTCATTACGCACAGGTTTTTATCCGCTTTAAGGCCGTTTGATGGAAACACACTTTCACCAGCTTTATTCGCATGAGGTTTTTTACTGAACTTCAGATAATTCGATCGACAAGTGGATGGAAACATGGCTTCTGTGTAACGGTCAGTGCGAATTGAATACAGACAGTAGAGTTCAGCTTCGACGCACGATCGGCAATTTTAAATCTTCGATTCATTTATTCTAAAAAAATATGATTCCCAGTGCGCACAAACCTACCTGATTATTGTAACCCTACCCTGTTGGTTACAGTGTTTACTACTTTTATTCATATTTTCAACAATTTCTTTATTTGTGAAAAATACTGTAACATGATCATTCTTTATTTTACAGATTTATCAAGTTTTTTTTTTTTTTTTTATAGTTTCTAATTTTGTAAATATTATGTAAAATACAGAGTTCCTTTCAGCTATTGTGTTGCATATGTTTTTACTATCTTTAAATTAAATAGCGAGATCCCACCCTCCCTTCAGAGCGTCTCCTTCAAAACACATGAACACGCACAGCAGGGAGCAAACAAAAGCATCACGAGAGACGGCGTTGAACTACTCATGTCTCAAAGCATACATTTATTGAAACGCATACATTCGAGTCAAGAACCGCTCCAAGTATAAAGTCACGGGTTTCCATCTCTACCAAATTACAGTAGTTATGGCGTGAACGCAGCATGAGCTGGTTGTTTTGGTTCAGGAGGAACTGTAAAAGGTGGCTGCTGTTTCTGTTGCGGTCCTCCTCGGTGACTGACGTCTGTCTAACTCTGCATAGCATGAAACGCACCGATGACGTGATGTCAACGTATACATACATATAAATCAGGGATGCTCATATTGACCGTTTAACCGTTAACCGAAAGTAAAAATTTTGACTGTACAGTCTATGAGCGAGACGTTATCTCTGTATTCCCGGGACATCTGTGCCATTTCTGCCGCGGGTCTAACTCAACAGGCTGCGCTCCAGACTAACCCCCACCTCATGTAGACATTTTACTTTTTTTTAAAATAAAAACTAGACAATGTGTGGATTGAGGTAGGCCTGCTATTTTCGTTCACACTGCAGGGGCTTAATGCTCAATTCCGATTTTTTGAAAAAATTCGATTTTTTTGCAAGGCCGTTCCCATTTCCAATTAAATGCGACCTTTTGTGATCTCCTGTGTGAACGTGACATGACCCAGAAATGACCCGCATGCGCAGAAGAGTACTCAACGGTCAACGACGTCACTTGTTGTTTGCGGTAGTAGCTAAACATGGATGTCAACAGTGGAGCTCGTTTAGCGATATTGAGGTTATTTTCCCAACAGAGCCAGCACACTTACAAACTTACAATCTTCTAGTTTTAAGAAAAAAAATAAAAAGGAGGAGATCAAGGTTTTTGACCATGGCGTTTTGTGGAGCAGTGGTAGCAACTTCGGTACAGAAACGTGTGGGTGCGGAGTCGCAGCCAGGAGTGGTGGGATACTGATGTGAGTGGCTTCACAAATACAGAATTCATCAGTAACTTCCGAATGACCAGATCCACTTTCGATTATATTTGTGAGCGTCTTCGATCAACTCTGTCGCGGGAAGAGACACGTCTACGGCGGCCCATAACAGTGCATATCAATGACGTGCGGGTCGGATACATGCGACCTGGCCATTCAGATTGAAGTCTCATTTCAAAAGATCGGATACATATCGGATTTGGACCACATACCCAAGTGGCCTGGGTCATTTCAAAAGATCGGATCTGTGTCGTTCAGACTTTCATGAAAAGATCAGATACAGGTCGCATAGGGGCAAAAAAATCGGAATTGGGTCGTTTCAGCCTGTAGTGTGAACGTAGCCTTAGTCTGGCGGTGGCGGGGGAAAAAGTTGCCAGTTTTTCAAAGCTTCAAACGGATTCAGTGTTTTCTTTTTGTCATCTTAATTTGTTAATTATTCAAGTATTGAAGAAAATATTTAGTGTAGGCCTATTTTATGTTTTTATTTATATTATTTATTCTGTTTTTCTCTGATAAGATTATAATCTTATCAGTTAACGGTTAATTCTCGGATAACGAGCGGCGGTTGTCGGTCGGGAAAATTAACCGAAATGTTAATGCATCCCTAATATAAATACATTTAGACCACTTCACCTTGTGATTGCTATCAGGATGTGAAGAGACTTTCAAGTAGCATAACAAAAAATGTTCTGGAACGAATCGCCTACCCTGCCTTTTAATGGCTATTTGTGGCATTAATGGCTTTGATGTGATATCAATTCTGAGTCAGCCTGGTTTTTCGACACTAACCTTACATTCTTCTCAACTCACGACATCTTGTTTTTAAAGACAAGAATAAGTAGTTATATAAGACAAGCAATCCTTTGTATGGACAAGCCTGCAAAAGCTTTATGAGAGCCTTTAAATACCTTTGCTTGGCTCAAGGTTATCAGCAGCCTTTGCTGTGGTCTTGGATATGTTGCAAGACTGGATCTAATTCGTCAGTTGAACAAGTTCCCCAACCTACTGTTTCTTTTAAGTCCAAAGATTCTGCTTAAAATAATCTTTTTGACTGTGACATTAGAGAGGATGAGATGCATTGTACGTGTTTGTGCGACTTGAAACTGCAAGACAGCACTGGCCACGTCATATTTAAGTGAATTCTTTTTGTCACTTTTTAACTTTTTCTTTTCTTTTGAGATTGTATATTTCTTCAACAATTGCGTATGCATGTGTACGTGTGTATGTGCTTGTGAAAGCTATCATTACAACAACACGGAGAGCCATTTAGTCTCCCAAATTGTGTCGGTGTGATTTTGTACTGAATGCGTTTCCTCTTAAATGGACCTTTTATGGTTGATGCTAATCTGCTTTTCCTGTGAAAGTAAATTGTTGGGAAAAGTACAGAATGTCTCTAAATCAGTGTCATCATTGCCTGTCTTGACTCTCTACACATGTGATCTGCTTCAGTGCATTGGATGGATTGATGGGTTCAAAAAAACAACAGCAGCATGTATACGAAAACATGTAACAAATTTACAGTCGAAAATAGAACATTTTTAATAAAAAGACACATTAGTTCCAAATTAGTCCTGGTCTAAATTTTCTATTTTAATAGATTTTAAAATGGTGTTTATTACTGTGATGGTAAAGCTGAATTTTCCACATCATTACTTCCAGACTTCAGTGTCACATGATCCCTCAGAAATCATTCTAATCTAATTCTAATTTGACGCACAAGATGCAATTAATGTTATTAGCAATATATGAAAAAGTTGAGCTTTTCAGGATTATTTTGATGTATAGACAGTTAAAAAAATCCATCCATTCATTTGTCCTTCCATCCATCCTTCCTTTAATGTTTTGACTGTAATTGTGTAAACAGTACAGTGTTCAGTGACGTGATTGTTTTCTTGTGCATGTTTGTAAAGTGAGTTAACTTTACACTCCCCCGTCTTTGGATAAAGCCCTGTATGAGTATCAGATGGAGGCCTCCGCCCACATAGCACTGTAACTCTTCTGTACTGTTAGAGCTGTTTGCGATGGTTAGTTGTCGTTATGTGGGGTTGCTCCATGACCTGCTCGATTTCCATGATTTTGGCACGATTTGTTGGAAGATTGATGTGTGCATGTGGCGCAATATAATATTAAAAAACGCAACACTATGTTTGGAGAGTGAAGCAGCAACAGGAGCAGTTTGTGTTATTCTTTAATGTGCAGGCTTTAAACGTCTGCAAATTGGTTATGATGTTTTTATGCAGCAGATGTTTTAAATAAGACTTTTTTTCCAATTGCAGTGCCTCTGGAGCAAGTGTGGTCGCCATTGATAATAAAATAGAGCAAGCAATGGTAAGTTTTTTTATTTATTTATATTTTTATATTTAGAGATTAAAGATACATTTTCAATATTCGTGTAATGTTGCTGTTTGAGAATGAAAAAGGTCTGCAAAGTTACAAAACACAATCACTCCAGAGATAGTTATTCTCTATATTATGAACTGTTTCTGAACCCCCTGAAACGACTGCATTGTATTCTTGAGTTTTCTTCCGGGAAAGTACACTTCACACAATATCCTTCATTTAGATATGCAAAACAAAAGGACAAAGCCTGGTTGAGTTGCGTTAGTAGTGTGTTGAAACTCGCGGTTTCTGACATTTCTGAAACCTGCTCGACCAATTGGTCAATGGTTGACCAATCACAAAACACTAGGGGCTCTCGCACCGGAGGAACCTTTTCATAGATCCTAGAACTATTGACGGAAGTACCCGGATGTCGGCGTGTTCGCACCGCAGGAACTAGGAACGATTTTTCTTCTAGCAACTCCTTTTGGAGGAACTTATTTAGCTCATACTTCAGAGGTCTAAACCAGCACTTATAGGAACTATCCGTGACGTGTACGCTGATTGGCCAAATGCAAATTCACTTTAAAGAAAGGCTTTATACAAAACAAAACTTAATGATGTGGTCAAAATCTTGTCTGACCCACTCCATATGTCTCCCTATAGATTTCGCATCTAATTATCCTATCTTACTCATGCCCAGGGCCGGTACGGGACACCACTGGGACTGAGGTCCCCGAGGTCAGGACCTCGGTAATTTTTCGAAGTGCGTATAATGAAGGTTGTGAAATAAATGCCTAATGTTAACTCTACTTTGGTGTTGCAATGATATTGCATATCGCCACGATAACCGACTTTATCTGAGCTGCTTTAGTTTTGCTGAGCTTTTTTTGTTCACATGTTTGCGCACTCACATTCGTTATTTTAAATGTAGATGGGCGAAAAGTGCCCCCAAATAACGGTCACTAACAGTTAGCGGTCATATAGTGCGAGTTTGGCCTTCGAGATGTGAGTAGCTAAACCAAACAACTGTTTACTATAAAAGTATTAAACGAGTAAAAGAAACAATCAGTTTGAAAAGACTGTATCATTCAAAGCTCAGCTTTGGGAAGATCAGATGTACATGTAAAGATTAGGTGACTGTGAGAAGAAGAAAGAGAGGAAGAGCAGGTATTGCATACTGTGGACATTAGGGGTGGGCGGTATGACCTAAATTCTATTTCACGGTATGTCTCATTTTATTTCACGGTAACGATATATTTCACGATATAGGTATTTATATATGTAGTTATTCTCAAAAAATCGACAAAAAGGGCTTTGTATAATAAATAAACCCAAATACTTTAGAAATGAAAAGTACTTCACATTGTTTTCTGTTTCTCTTATTTGGTAAATTATTTCTTTGGTAAACTATTTAGATAGCTAAATATAAACAAAACACACTCATCAACTTTTTGATGAACTGCCCCCAACTGATTGATATTAAATACAACTCATAGGTGCAATTAAACTTTAAATAAAGTGTTTCTGAATCATTTTTCAATCATTTTATGCTTTACTTCATCAATCATTTTTTAATATCTGAATATTTTATATTGAACTATTCTAATCATGATAAATGAGTTATTTCCTTCTAATTTTGTAGGATAGTAATACTAGTTATGTTTAAATGTGTTCCCCGGTACATTTTTGCCATGTCTGCTTATAAGGCTACACTGCGTTTTTAAGGGGCTTGTTTTGCTCTTTTTGTGATATCTGGCAACCCGTCACCCTGCGCTTTATTCAATAGAAATTCAGAAGTGACTAAGGAGAGCAGCAGTTTGAAAACCGAACAGCAGCTACTGTTAGTGTTGACAAAGTAGCCTAGTTTAAATTATACACACCTGTAACTGCGTCATTATTTGACCATAGCCCGGTGAACACCGCGCTCCCTCAGTGCGTGTGCACGCGCGCGTCTTCTGCATCAGTAAAATGCGATCGGTTAATTTGAGTGTCAAATTGTAATCACTATCACGTATCGAATCAAAGGAAGATTTTATCAGCTGGTTCGGTGGCCAATTGTTTGGAGTTAGAAATATATAACTCGCGATGCATATTTAGTAATTTTGCCTCAGATAGGCTACAGGATTATACATTCACTTTAACAAGCAGGATGTTCATTACCACGGGCGCCAAACTGTTTGCGTGTTTAAAAACTATACATAAGAGACAGAAAGATGCAGATAACTATACATTATTTAAGGTTATTTCTATTCGTTACGATATTGATATATGAACTGTTGTTGTCCAGCTTTCCCCGTTGCGAGCGTGCACTAATCTGTAGCCTGGGTGCTGCACTGCTCTAGTGAACTGCTGCACCTTTCCCCCCGAAAATATCACGTTAACAACAACAACCCTTTAGAAAATGTAATTCCTTTGTGGATCCTCTTGATCTGCTTTCTCCGTGTTTCTTTTTGCAATTCGCTGTGTTTCAGTCTCACGCACATTGCACGCGAGTTAACCACGCCCACTTATTTGCATGTCGCGGTATACACGGAATAAAAAAATCTGCTACGGTTGACATTTTCTACCGCGGTAACGATATATACCGTCATACCGCCCAGCCCTAGTGGACATGAGATTAACATAATTACAATGTATTCCTATTTAACACAAAAAAATAATAAGCTCAATTTAACAACACAAGCACCTATTAATTATAATGCCATAATAGTAGTATTGTATAAATATAAATATTTGTATATGGTCCTCGAATGTTATATGTTTGTGCAACTTGCATCAAGCCAGTAGGTGGCAACAAGTCACTGTCTTTATGAGTGAACAATTGAACCATTAAATGAACCGATAAGTCCAAAAACAAGTTTCTGAAACTAATCTTTGATGCTCATTTGCCTCTGGACACAGAAGTATTGCATTGGCATTTGATTGAAATGTAACATCTATGCAAAATAATCCTTGAATCATTTCTAATTTAAGGCCATTCCCGTTTCGAATATGTGATTGTGTTTTGTCAACAATAAGCATAAACATTCTGCATTTCCATTTTGTAGTGCCGAACCCCCATAGCAGAATCACTATAGCAAGGACCTCGGGATTTATAAAATCCTGCGTACGGCCCTGCTCATGCTGTTCACTTTTCATATAATCAACATAGATCAAATAAAAAAATAACATTTATATTATTTATTTACAATGGCTAGGTTAAAAACAGATATTATGTATAGTTTGTGATATTAGCTCACTTTTCGGCAAAAGCTCTGTTGGCTTTTAGTATTTGAGAAATAAAAATTTGTGTTAAAGTAATGCAAATGGTTCATTATTTGTATGACTGCATCACAAAGAGTCAAGTCTTGTAAAAGCATTAGATTGAAAACAATGAAATTTCATAAAGTGTGTAAATAATAGAAACGCAGTTCAAAATGGCCTTTCTTTAAATGCAAATGTTCTTTTGAGTATTTCATTTGTGAAGGTAAAGCATATAGTCACTATACTCCTAATTACAAGAAGAAGAAACTGCTCTTAAACTGGGTGTGCGACGGGCTGTGAAATGGGGTTTGGTCGAGGAAAAATTGTCGGCCAAAAGATTTTTTTTTTTTTTTGCTTTAACCCCTGTAACTAAGTTCCTTGAACTACCCGGTGCGAAAGCCCTCACTGATACAACTGACCAATCAGAGCACATTGTGCTTTTCAGAAGGAGGGGCTTCATAGAGACAGGAACTAAACACAGCGTTACTGACAGAATGGGAAGAGAGGTGCTGCAACAATATCAAACATGTGGAACATGTGCATTAACCTATTCAAGTAGACCCCAAAAAACAAAATCAAGACTGTAAAAGGGCATTATAGGTCCTCTGTAATAATAGTTAGTAAAATTAGTAAGACAAATTTTGAATGGGTTCTGATGCTGAAATTGTTATGTTTTGGCTCTAGGATTTAGTGAAAAGCCATCTGATGTATGCCGTGCGGGAGGAGGTGGAGGTCTTGAAGGAGCAGATAAAGGAGCTCTTTGAGAGAAACTCTGTGCTGGAGCGAGAGAACGCTGTGCTCAAATCTCTAGCCAACAGCGAGCAACTCTCCCAACTCACCGTCCAGCCCAACTCCAACCCATCCAACTCTCCCTCCCAGCTTGGGCCCGTCCCGGGTCAGGCCCAGTCCCAACTTCAGCCTTACCTCCAGCTAGACGCCAATACGACCTTGGACTCCCTGCCACGACAACCACAGCCCAACGTCACCTCCGCCTGAAGCCTGTGCGAATGACGCATATATCGTTACAACAGCAGAAAACCTGTCTCGTTCACTACTTCGCTGAGCGCGCATGATGTCGGCCATCGTGACGGGCGAGGGGCGTTTTCTGCTCGGGCGCAACATGCTAGCATGCCTGTGGACCCACGGTCTTGATCGGGGCTCCCGCACGGCCCATTCCCCCCTGGACGAGGTGGAGAGTTTGTGAGGAGAGTTATTTTTTTAATAAAGAGAATCCAGCCATGAAAGCGGTGTATTTTTTAGCATTGCAGTTTTCATGTTGTAAGAAGCGAGAGTCTATTTTCAGAGCCACCGTACTTCACATGATTTCGATTCACCTGTCAAGTTCAATTGTACTGTTTGTTATTTATTATAGGGCTGCTATTTTCAGAGAGGAACAATGTCACAGATGCCGATAAGGTCGAGGGGAACATTTTCGATTCATAAATCCGACAGTAATCGGTCATAAATCCAAGCAAGCAGTCTTTACAATATCAATCATCAATGCAACCATAAACAGTGGGTAGAGTTCAAACACTAACAGTGATGTTTCTCTGTGGATAAAGAATGTGAACCTGGCGTGAATGTACATTTTGTATAGTATAAAGAATAAAAAGAGCGTAACAAGTTTGTACAGGTTTGTGGGCGAAGATCTAAACTGAATCCTCAATGATCTACCCTGATGAAGAATGCTTCAGTTCTGTTGCTAGTATGTTGGAAAAAGAAGTCAGTTGCCATATTCTCCTGCCCGCCACCCTGATGTCTCATGTTTTTGGGGTTGGGAAGGGGATTTAAAAGAGAGAAAAAAAACTGTGAAATTGTTCAACCTACTTTGTAACCAAAGATGCAAAGCTGTGTAATTATTTTTTTCTTTGTTTTCTTTTGTTATGCACTCTATGTACTTTTTTTTTTTTTTAATGTTCCTCACAACAAATCTTTTTGTTGCTTTTAGGCATGTTCTGCATGATCTGCTATCTGTAAATGTCAAACCACTTTCTTACCTCATTTTTGTATTGGGCACTCATATTGTAAGTAGTCTGTGAAAGGTGTCAGCGGGGGAAGGAGATATGGAGGTGACGGTGAGGAGAAAAAAAAATGAACTAGTGTGTGTGACGCACTAGCCACAGAAAATGAAGTGAGCCATGTTTTGTTCATTTAAATGGTGTTTGAATTTCATATGCCAATAGTTTTGTTACATTGCAAATTTTAATGTATTTAAATAAATGCAATATTCAAATTACAAAAGTGCTTAGGAATATTTGTGTTAGAAACAGGTGGTTAAATTGTCTGCGATATTCTTGTTTCTGCTTTATGAACCATGATGCTTATTTTCACACTACATGACAGCACCGTAGGCAGTGACTTCCCCTCACTGAGAGGAAACATGATGGATTTATCTTGATGTGTGGGTTGCTGATACACACCACATGTGCTCTTGAAGTATGCAGCATATATCATTTCGACTCAAAAAAGACCCACATATTAGTTGAGAAGGGTAAACTTGAATTATAAAGATAAAGATCTAGAAAGGTTTTGGCCATCATCTGATTAATGTGTTTGCGGTTCATAGATTGTGTATGACTCGCTATAAAACAGCAGGATACAAATTTCTGCAAATTACCTCAGGCTGTTATGTAGCAGAGACGTGTTGATTTGTTTGTTTTATCATTTAAAGAATTCTTTACATATTTAGCAAATTTACCACCACACCCAAAAATTCATGACTTTTTGATTTTGAGGTGTAGTATGACCTGGATATGACCCCTTTTTTTTTGGATCACATGAAATCAGTCAAGAACAAGTAATATTTAACCTGTATTACCATTAGTTGATTCTATTGTGGTTGTATTTTTTTTTTTCCATAAAGTACTTCTCACTTAACCCGTTTAATCCCACCGGGCACAATTGTGACCGCATCTTTTTTCTTATTTCTGGAAGCTCTAAAAATGTTATTGACTTTGGGCAAGAAATTCAACTTTTAAATGATAAAATAGATTGTCTTGATTAAAATCTATTAATGTCACATGACCAGTTTACTTCCTGCTTGCACATCTAGAAGATGATGTCTTCCACAGACTACTACAAAAAGTAGTAAGTAAAACATCTTAACCTGTTAAGTGTCACCCCCCCTTTTTTGAAAATACATGAAAATGCACATTTCGAACTTAAATGGTTGTGATTCAAGAATGCTTTGGAATATAGACGTAAGATTGGTCTTGTTTTAAAGAAGACATTTGGCAGATTTTTGTAGAAGTGAAATAAATTAAGAAAGTGAAATAGAAAAAAAGTTATAGAAGTTTGAGTTTATGAAAATGTACAATGTAAAAAAAAATATTATTCATATTTTATATAAAATATATGTTTTCAAAACCTGGGCGACTCTAAAACTGCAAAAAAAAATCAAAGCCAAAAATCTGAACAAGTTGTGTTTCAAATTTTAGGTTGATATCTCAAAAAATGAGCTTTCAGTAAGATTTTGTTTGGGCGCAGTACCAAACCTTTTCACTAGATGACAACCAGACTCCATTACTGCCCATATAAGGGCTTCAATTTTTTTTCTTTATAGCTAAAAAAATTTCAGACCTTTTTTTCTAAAATAATTGAATGGATGCTATCTTTTGAACTCTTGGCATGAAAACAAATTGAGGTTTCTACCATTCTTTCATGATTTTTCATGTTTATCACTATTTCAAAATAAAGGTCTAAACAAGCCTTAGGAGTATGAAAATATTATTGTTGCAAATTGATAAATTACGGCTCCTCTGTAGTTTATTTTGAAAATCAATCACCAAATATGGAAACTAGAGATTGTAAGCTTTCAAATGATATATAGTTTGTCAAGATTAGTTTAGGTTTAGTATAGGATATTACTGTTTTAAAAATGTAATGGATTTGGGCCCACCGGTGACACTTAAGAGGTTAATTAACACTTAAGAGGTTAATTAACAGATAGAACTATCATATTTTGTACATAATATTCTTTAAAGGGTCTACTACTGATATATTTTGAGAATTATACGCCTGCATATATATTTTGAGTTCAGCTCAAAAATGGGGGCAAAAACGACTCGGTTACTAACGTAACCTCGGTTCCCTGAGAGGAGGGAACGAGTATTGCGTAATAGCTTATGCTATGGGAAAACTCCTTTTCTCGAGAAATATTGAAGTCTTTATGTAAAACGCATTGCAGCTGCACAGCATACAGCAATGAGCGAGGCAGCTCGGTCATTGGCTGTGCTGCGGCAACTTGCACGAACCAATGACGGGGCGACTCTGAACCCGCTTCCAATGAGCGTGCTTCGAGCCCGCCAAGATGGGCGTGGCCAAGGGCTATATATTGGGCGCCCCGTCGTCTGAGTTCTTTAGGTTCAATCGACTGAAGCAAACTGACCAAGCATAAGCACGGCAGATTACGCAATACTCGTTCCCTCCTCTCAGGGAACCGAGGTTACGTTAGTAACCGAGTCGTTCCCTTTCGAGAGGTTCCTCCTATTGCGTAATAGCTTACGCTATGGGAACGCCATGTAAAACGCCGTGCGTGCTGACTTCGCTCTATTAAGCCGGAGGCAGATATCTGAGCCTTCGAGCAAAGTAATTATCCAACGAGCCAGCCGAAGGCGGGCTTTATAAAAGGACAACTTGGAACGGCCCGATGGGCGTCCAGAGACACACACAAGCACATTTTTATGTACTGTCATGTATGAAAAATCCTCTACATCAGTCAAAGACGGATTCTATGAGGGAGGAGACAATGCTCAGCATGTACACACCCCAGCCTATGCATAGTTAGACCGACAGTATGTTAGAGTGCAATGAGGGGACCTGTAGGTTATAAAACCTGATAAATGTGGACGGTGAGGCCCAGCCTGCAGCCGCACAAATATCTTGAATGGGTATCCCACTCGACCACGCCCACGAGGAGGCCATGCCTTTCGTAGAGTGAGCTCTGATGCCCAAGGGGCACTGAAGGCCCTTGGCTTCATAAGCCAGCGCTATAGCATCAACTATCCAGCGCGATATTCTTTGCTTTGACACAGCCAGGCCGCCAAAGCATACGAACAACTGCTCTGTCTGTCTGAACAGGGCAGAACGTTCCAAATATACTCTGAGTGCCCTGACCGGGCAGAGTAAATTAGCGTCACTTTCGTCTGCTGGGGACGATAGCGCGGCCAAAGATATCACCTGTGCTCTGAAAGGAGTAGAGAGCACCTTAGGAATATACCCGTGTTTTGGCCTGAGGACAACCCTGCTGTCGTTAGGTCCAAACTCCAGGCAGGTAGCGCTTGATGACAGCGCGTGCAGGTCGCCCACTCTCTTGACCGAGGCGAGAGCCAGCAAGAGAGCAGTTTTGAGCGAAAGCTGTTTAAGGTGCACAGTTCGGAGGGGTTCGAACGGGGCATGCTTAAGTGCGTCCAGGACCGTGGCCAGGTCCCAAATCGGCACCGAGGGGGGGGCGTGGGGGATTTATCCTCCTGGCGCCCCTCAGGAAACGAACAACTAGGTAGTTTTTCCCTAGTGTGCGTCCTTCGACCGGTTCATGTGATGCCGCTATGGCAGCCACATATACTTTGAGCGTGGAGGGGGTGCGGCCTGCCTCCAACAGCTCTTGTAAGAAAACGAGCACACTCGGTACTTCGCATGTCTCAGGATTCAGGTTCCTGGATTTACACCAGTCACTGAACACCTTCCATTTCTGGGCATATAAGCGCCTCGTAGAGGGCGCTCGCGCCTCAGTGATGGTTCTCAACACTCCACTGGGGAGGTTCCCGGGAATCCGTTGAGGGGCCACGCATGGAGGGCCCACAGATCGGGGCGGGGATGGAGGATCATCCCGTTGGCCTGCCTGAGGAGATCTAGCCTCAGTGGAATCGGCCATGGGGCAGATTGCATCATCTGCATCAGTTCTGGAAACCACGTCTGGTTCTTCCAGAGTGGGGCTACCAGGAGCACTGCACATTTTTCCTCCCTGATCCGACTGATGACCTGAGGTAGCATCGCGACCGGAGGGAAGGCATACAGCGGGCGGCTCGGCCAGACTTGGGCGAGCGCGTCTGTGCTCTTTGAAAAGAAGAGAGGGCAGTGCGCATTTTCCTTGGAGGCAAAGAGGTCGACCTCTGCTCTGCCAAAGGTTTGCCATAACCACTGAATCGTCAGGGGGTGGAGAGACCATTCTCCTGGGAGAACTTTGTCTCTGGACAGCATGTCCGCTCCCTGGTTCAGAACACCTGGCACATGCGCTGCTCTCAGCGAGCGCAGGTTGCGCTGGGACCATAGGAGGAGCTCCCTGGCCATCGAGTGCAGGGAGCTCGATCTGAGTCCACCCTGACGGTTTATATGCGAGACTACCGTCATGTTGTCCGTTCGGACTAGGACGTGCTCGTCCTTCAGGTACGGGAGCAGGGCTCTGAGAG